GGGCAGGGCCGGCTCCGCTCTTTGCTCCTGCTGTGCCTGTTCTCCTTCTTCTGTAAAGTTAGCACTTCACAGCTTCTCATGGAAATAGAAACGCTTCTGAGTTGTGCTGGAATAAAGAACCATCCATGCCTGCAGGTTGAATACCAGATAATTCCTTTACTGCGTAGCAGAATTTGTCCCTTGGAGTGTATTGCATCTCCAAGAGGACAGTTTGAGTGTGTCAGACATCGCTTTTGGAAGCAGCTCGCTTTGTTTCTTGGGGTTGTGTATGTGAGGATGCAAATAGTGAAATAAATTCTGGCTTGTGGAGGAACCTGGTGTTGGTTGTTTCCTGTTTTCTTGCCAAGGACCAGAATCTTGCTATGGCAACTTAAACATATCAGGTGAGTTCTGCTGTGTGTCTGCCCGGGATCCTCACTGTGGGGAAGGGGAGGAGGAACCATTCCTAACCTCTGAATATCTCAACACCTTCAGTTTAGGAGGAAGACTTTTTTTCTTTTCTCTGCCTTGTTTTGCAGCTGGTGGGCAATGAGGTGTAGGAGCATCTGGGCCTTTACAAGGGCTGTTGTGAGTGAGCTCCAGCTGGGCTTTGTAGCACTGGTGTGCTGCTGGGCAGGCAAGCAGTCGGGGATGCACAGCTCGGGCATGCGTGACTGTGCTCAGCGAAGCTGGGGCTGTGTGGTGACTGCAGGCTGGAGTTTCCCTCCTTTGCATCAGGAAACTGCTGACATGGCTATGGTTGCTATAGGTGCCTCATTATTTGGTGACCAAACCCGACGGAAGGGCTATTTGTTGCCCAACAAATTAAAAACTCTCTGGACCACGTGCTGGGTGGGTAATTTCATTCTGTAGTTGATAAGGAAAATGAAATCCTCAAAGCTCTTGATTTAAACTGTCATGTGAGAAGGCTTGTCTCCCTGGACTGAAATGAACTGATGGTACTGGCACTTTCTGTGCCCATGTGCTGGGGCTGCAAGTAAAATTGCTTTGGCTGGATATGTAGAATAAGCCAAGCACTGCCAAACCCTACCAGAAACTATGAGGAGGGCAACATCAGACTGGCAGCTGCCATGTGGGTGCAGTGCCTGAAGCGTTTGAGGTTCTGGTCCTTGGCTGTTGCTCCTCAGCAGGAATCTCAAATATGTTGCAGTAGCATCCAATGGGGGCATTCAGCATCTGGAAGCAATTTATGAACTTCGTGGTGCTCTTGGACTTGAAACATCAGTCTTATTTAGGTAAGCTTCTGATTCTCACTGAGGTGACTCAGTTTCAGTAGTGCTTGGACCTTCTCTTCTTATAGTTAAGGGTAGCTATCTCCTTGCTGTTTCTTCATTAGAAGTGAAAGCAATTTCGGAGTTCCAAGCCGGAGCGTTTGCTTAGGGGTTGTTGTGGATGCACAGACCGGGGTCTGTGGATGCACAGACGCGGGGGGAGCTGTGTTAAAGTTGTGTGCTTTTTTATTCTCGGTCTGGTTAACGCCCCCAGCCCGTGCGGATGTACTGTTCGCTGCGCGCTGCCCCGCGG